TAAAAATATTGGGAGGGGGCTGGGGGGAGGTGGGGGAGGGGAGAGGGGGGATCAATGGTGATGGAAGGAGACCTGACTTGGGGTGCTGAACACACCAGACGGCGTACAGATGATGGGCGTGGAGTTATTCACCTGAAACCTGTATCCTTTCATGAACCAGTGTCACCCCGATACATTCAATAAAAAGGTGCAGAAAAGAGAAATATTCGAGGGTCACTTCTCCTCGACCTTCCCTTTAAGACTCGGACCTGCACCTAAAGGCTGGACGGCGCGTCACAGTCCACAGGACCCTAAGGGCCAGCCGCCAGAACCCCACGTGGGCATGGCCTGGTCTCCAACTCGGATTTCCTGCCCACGCCCGGCAGGCGGCGCGGGCCTCGAGTTCCTCGGCTGGATGAGACCGTCACCTGGCCGGCACAGCAAGGCCGCGGCGGGCTCAGAGACGGCTGACGGCAGACAGGAATATGACGAGAAAAGTCAGGTTCCCACAGACATACACGGCTAGCACCGCCTTCTTAAAGCCGTGGCCCTGAAAGGAAAACGCACAGGTGAGAGGACGGACCGCCGATCCTGAAGGCTTTTGTCAGTCCTATATCATAAAAGCCTAATATGCTAAGTGTCCGGTCATCCGGTTGGCCATTCAACCAATCAAAGCGTAATATGCTAATGATATGCTAAGGCCGCTCAACTCGCTATGATGATGTGCACTGACCACCAGAGGGCAGAAAGTCGACCGATCGGCCAGTCGCTATGATGTGCACTGATGACCAGGGCGCAGACGCTCCGACCGGTAGGTTAGCTTGCTGCTGGGGTCCAGCCAATCAGGACTGAGCGAGATGGGCTGGACATGCCCTGGAGCCCTCCCTCGGGCCTTCCCTGGCTGGCTAACCTCCCATGTCCCTCCCCGGCCCCGATTGTGCACGGCTGGGGTCCCTCGGCCCAGCCTGCACCCTCTCGCAATCTGGGCTGAGCCCCCCCTCCCCCCGCCAAGTGCACAAATTTCATGTACCAAGCCTCTAGTAAAACTATAAACAAGAAGGACTTACTTTTGCCTCAGCCATGGTAAAGGTCTGCATAATCTGAATTCTAGTGTCATCCAGTATTTCAACTGCCAAGAGCAAAAACATGCGTCGGTAAGGCCCGTGGGTGTGCAGGCGAACACTTGTGCAGCGAAGCTCATGGGTAGGGTTTGCTGAGTCTGTTCTCCCATTTCCAGCTCCCGGGACATTCCAAACGTCCCCAATAGTAAGGCGCTCACACTCCGGGACGGGCACTTAAACATGCTCTTTTCTAGGCAATTCCAGCCAGATCAAACCCCTAACAATACAAGTGTGAGGTACATTTTTTTTTCTTTTCTTTTTTATATTTTTTATTGATTTCAGAGAGGAAGGGAGAGGGAGAGAGAGACAGAAACATCAATGATGAGAGAAAATCATTGATCGGCTGCCTCCTGCACGCCCCACACTGGGGATCGAGCCCACAACCCGGGCATGTGCCCTGCCTGGGAATGGAACCATGACCTCCTGGTTCATAGGTCAATGCTCAACCACTGAGCCTCGCCAGCTGGGCAGTACATGTGTCTTTTAAACAATAAGCCCCAGCTCCGTGGTCAGCAGAAGCCCGACTATATATGTATTCCTATCAGAAACCAAAAACGCAGGAGTATTCAGCTCCCAAAAGCCACCGACTCCTAACGTCACAACATATTACATTAGACAACAAAGAGGTTGTGCTTGGAGAAGGCCACCTTGATTTATCATTGGGGGGCAAGGGGGCTGAAAACTAGACAGGACACCAAGAACACAGCCCAGACCCACGCTCGTTGGACATCTCTCCATCCTCGGGCTCCGGGGCCAGTGCCCTGCCTGTGACAGACAGCTGGGCAGTCAGCCCTTCCCTCGTGGCTCACTCGTGAGCCGGCTGTGTCCGACGGGCAAGGCCAGCGGAGGTAGCGCCCCGTAAACTATCAGAAGGGAACAGCTGTCTGCAGCCCTGCCCTGGGCTGACTCTGGGCATCTCTGCTTCCTCCAGCTCAGGGTCTCCCCCAGGCATGCGGGGCTCCCTGTGTCCACTGCCTCCCAGCCAGACCCGCGCAGCACACGTCCTTACGAAGACGTCTTTCCTGAAGCCTGTAGTAGGCCCTTTCTGTTTTACCCACAATTTATCATCCTGACGAATACGAAAGAGAAAGGCAGGAAATGCCCACAGTTTCTAGCCCTGAGTGATCGGGCAGGAGTGTTTAAGGAGCTCCCGGGAGCAGCCCCCCCTTAGTATCGGGAACCCGACTGCTCTCCACCGGCTCACGGGACAGCGGTTCCGGGCAGTACCTTTGCGCGAGAGGCGGTACGAGTGGACCTCCAACACGATCTCTGCCCCCACATGCCAGGCGACAAACCCCAGCATCACGTAGGTCTTCCATGGGCCGGAAAGGGCCAGTCCCGGCAAATCCATCCCCAGGAACATCGCCGCCACTGCGTGCAGAGGGAGACAGAGCCACGTGTGTATTTCCACGCAGTCGCCACCAAGAGAGGCCACTGTGCGTCTGCACTACATGCAGAGGGAAACAGGCTACATCTGTACGGCATTTCCACGCAGTCGCCACCAAGAGAGGTCACTGTGCGTCTGCACGCACGCGGGTTGTAGCAGAGGACACGTGTCCAAAAAGCTGAGTGAACGAAATCACTATTTCAGGCCCAACGGTTACTCCGTGTTTCCTAGTCTTAGGACTAGACTGGGAGGGTCAGAGGAGAGATTGTGGCGATGCTCTGCCGATTCTCAGAAAAGAGGCGGCCGCACTGTGCAGGTTTCAAGGCTGCGGGTGGAAGGGAGACGAGTGGCGACTGCGCTCCCCTTTCCACCAGGAGCCCCACGGGCCACGGAAACGGGAGGGAAGCGGCGCCAGTTTAGAGACTTGTTACCAAGGCAGCAACACACAGGAAAGTCAGACCCGACTGCAAACCGCCTTCTGGGGGAGGCACCATCCCCGGGGGAGGGGCCTGGAGACAGAGGCCTGGAACCCCCCCTCCAACCCACCCCCCCCCAAGGCCCAGCTCAGCCCAGCTCACAAATGACCCTCCACTTGAGCTCCTCAAACAGTTGGCGGCCAGCAGCGTTATTCTGTTTGCAAAGGCAAAAGCTAAAAACAAAAGTCTTAAAAGGGAAGTTTTAACATCATTTTAAAAACCCTAAGCTTAAAACTGAAATAATGACTTAAATAGCTATCTCCAGAAATTACTTTCTGGATTTCAATGTTTAAGGCTGATTTCTCTTCAACAACCAATCACTCCGATCACTAATGCACTAAAAAGGCTTTCCGCCCAATTACAACTTGCATCATGGGCGACCGGCAATCATATATGAATGTCAGCATCACAGCCACTTACCTGCCACGATCCTAGCAGCTGTTCCCATCCCCCAATGCGTCCAGTTAAACAGGTGCCTCCTGCCACAATAAAGAAGCGAAAGGATCCTTAAAAGGGACGGAACTACCGTGAATTCCCCAGAGAACCCCCTATCGCCTAGGAATGAGACATCTGAAATCTACTTTAAAGCTTTTAAGTAAATAGAATTTATCACTGAATTTCACAAAACGCAAAGTGCTTCCACTTGAAAAGAGATTCGTGTGCCGACGAATGCCCGGCACGTGAGGAGCGCCGTGTAGCAAGGCTGCGAGTACCTGGGGTCGTGTAAAGATGGCCTCATGGCTGCCAGCAGGGGCTGCAGAACCGCCAGGACCAGCACCACGCAGCCGAGGTAGGGGTGGTAACCTGCACGCTGAGAGAGTGACCCCCGTTAATGCTCTCGCTCCCGCCCTTGATTCACACCCGCAAGTTAGAAATAATACACATCTATGCATTCTTCATGCTTTCCTGTAGCTTTAAACATTGGAGGATAGTGATGCTGATGATGACAGCGATGATGGTAATGATGACAGTGATGGAGGTGATGATGGTGGTGGTGGTGGTGATGATGGTGATGATGATAACAGTGATGTTGATTATGATGACAGCGATGGAGGTGATGATGGTGGTGGTGGTGGTGATGATGGTGATGATGATAACAGTGATGTTGATTATGATGACAGCGATGGAGGTGATGATGGTGGTGGTGATGATGGTGATGATGACAGTGATGGTGGTGATGATGACAGTAATGGAGGTGATGATGGTGGTGGTGGTGATGATGGTGATGATGATAACAGTGATGTTGATTATGATGACAGCGATGGAGGTGATGATGGTGGTGGTGGTGGTGGTAGTGGTGATGATGGTGATGGTATGATGGTGGTGGTGGTGGTGGTGATGATAGTGACGGTATGATGATGGTGGTGGTGGTGGTGGTGATGATGGTGATGACAATGATTATAGGCACCAATCACTGAGCATCTCCTTCACACCAGGCACACACTGTACACTCTCATGCTCCACGCTCGGTTATGAATAACCCACTTTTAAAAACGGGGGAACTGAGGGTCAGAGACACCAGTAACGTGTCCAAGGACATGGCTGTGGTGTCATTGGTGGTGGTGATGATGGTGATGATGATAACAGTGATGGTGGTGATGATGACAGTGATGATGACAGTGATGGAGATGGTGTGATAATGGTAGTGGTGATGATGATGATGATGGTGATGATGGTGGTGGTGGTGGTGGTGGTGATGGTAATGGTATGATGGTGGTGGTGGTGGTGGTGGTGGTGATGATAGTGATGGTGGTGATGATGACAGTGATGATGATAGTGTGATAATGATGGTGGTGGTGATGATGATGATGATGGTGGTGATGACGGTGGTGGTGGTAGTGGTGATGATGGTGATGGTATGATGATGGTGGTGGTGGTGGTGGTGATGATGATAGTGATGGTGGTGATGATGGTGGTGGTGGTGGTGATGATGATGGTGATGACAATGATTACAGGCACCAATCACTGAGCATCTCCTTCACATCAGGCACACACTGTACACTCTCATGCTCCACACTTGGTTATGAATAACCCACTTTTAAAAATGGGGGAACTGAGGGTCAGAGACACCAATAACGTGCCCAAGGACGTGGCTGTGGTGTCACCCACGCACAGAAATATCTGTTTGCCCATCATCTGAGAATAAAACAGCAATCTCCTTTGACGCTCAAGTGAATTTAAATGAAAACACCCAGTGTAAGAGGGACTTACGCTACTCCAGCCTCCTCGGTAAATGAAAGGCAGGACAAAAGCAATGCAGGTGAGAGAGGAAGTAATTAGCATGAGCGCCCGATGCACCTGCAAGGGTGAAATGACAGTGAGAAGAGAGTTACCTGAGCCAGAGAAAGGACTTGGTGTTACCATGGGGACAAGACCATGGGATGAGATTCCCCGAAGGGATGCTTTTGATTGACACCTGACATGTGACACACGAAAAATAAGGTGTGTTCTGCTTTTTTTTTAGGGGTACCGACTGACTCTCGCCTCCTGAACCCAGACAAAAGGGGCAACATGAAAAGAAATGTTTCTAGTTCCCATCCCTCCCCCCCACCCCCAGAGGAGACAGATGACCTTGACCGGAGACTCTGACGTGGATTGGCGCAGCACCCAGAGGACAGACCCCTGTGGACGTGCAGGAAGCCCCTGCGATTTCCCTCCCTGCCCTCTGCCTTCCTTGCCCGTCTGTGCTCGGTGCAGCTGGACATGCAGGTCAGGGTCCTGCGGGTCCCAAGGTCTACGTCACACAGGGAGGCACGCGGCCCTGGCACGTCCTCCAACCCCGCCCGAGCCCTGCCTAAAGTCACCTCTGTTGTGACCTCTATCAAGGACCTTGTGTCTGTTCTCAACTGGTTAGGAAACCAAAGGGCAAGAAGAAGAAATTGTTAGGATCCCGAAACCACAAAACTATGCCACACACACACAAAGGGAAAGGAACCCACATAGTTCATGTGTTTTCTTGCTGCAACGTACAGCTAGTACGAAACCGCATGAACCTTTTCCTCCCGCCTACCTGGAACCAAGCGGATTCGCCGAAGAGAGGCCTGGACAGAACGGGCTTGAAGAACCGGGCAACGATGACACCCACGCTGACGGTAGTCATCCAGCTCACGAGCATCAAGGCCCCTGCAGGGAAGATGCGATGGTGACATCACCAACTCAGCCCGCTATCCTGCAGCGACCACGCCACGTGCTCGGAAAACAGAAAGCACCAGCAAAGTACCTTCAACTGCCATGGCATACCCTCAAAACACCTGGATATCACAGCTTTCACTCTCACCACGACTGCTTCTAACAGCTCACACTTCCATAGCCCTCCTATGTGCAAGGCGCAGTCTCTAAGTGCTCCCCGTGAACTAACCTAATGGATCTTTACCACAATCCGATGAAGTGATTACAATTATTATTATTCCAGTTTTGCCGGATGGGGAAACCAAGGCACAGAGAAGCCATGTAAGTCGAGCCCATCCTGGCTTGAGCAGCTGTACCCTTAACCATTGTGCTAATAGAGCCCGAGTCACCTTGGAACCGTCTCACCTCTCACTCCAAAAACCAGTGAAAAACCAATAGGTGCCCCGACCGGGTGGCTCAGTGGATTGGAGCATCGTCCCACACACCAAAAGGTTTCAGGTTCAGTTCCCAGTCAGGGCACAAGCCTGGGTTGCAGGCTCGATGTCTGGTGGGGGGCGTGCAGGAGGCAGCCGAACGATGTTTCTCTCTCATTGATGTTTCTATGTCTCTCCCTCTCTCCCTTCTTCTCTCCCTAAAATCAATAAAAACATATTAAAGAATAAAAATATTTTTAAATGTTTTTTACCGAAAGGTAAATCCTGCTACCTGCACGTGTGAATGGTCACACAGAGATTTCTAAACAGCTGCTAACTTCTGTCCGCCACGACTCCTACCCCAGCCAGCACCGAGCCACCGGGTAAGGTTACGGGCGGAGTGAGGATGCAGCGCACACACAGGGAGCAGCTCACCATGAGCCCTCAGCAGGGGCGGGGCCCGAGACGCTCCCACATCCTGCGCATCACCTGTCACAGCATGTTTTTCATATGTAATCAGAGGCTGCTGGGAGTGTCTATAAATTCGACCTGAAATTATAAAAAAGCAGGAAGAAAAAGATGAAGAAGAATTACTTCCTCAGAAGAGAAGGAATGAAAAGACTGTGTCAGGACCTGGAAACAAAACTACTTAAAATAATAGAAAATAAATATCAACAGAGATGCCATTCATATGCAAAAGCAACCTAAACCCAGATGCAGGGTCACATGACCTTATTGGGGGGAAAAATTAAAGAAATAATTTAGCCAACCAAGACATGAGGCTGGGAAGGTGGGAGTTACAGTGAGACACCCACAAACAATGTTTCATCCAAATAATTACCGTTAATATGACCACAAATGATTGAAAATGGCAAGGATAATTCTTGAAAGAGAATACATGTGAAAAATAATCTAGAAGTCTAGATTAAACCGACAGAAACTGGGCCTGAGAGAAAGACAAACACATTTGATGCTCCATTATGTGGCATTGATCGATTGGGACTGGGTTTAACTAACAAACCAAAATTCCAAAGAAAAGTGATGTGCACAGTTTGAGAATGGGTTATCATATTATTGTTCATTATGTATAACTTTAAGTCTGTGAATGTAGAGTTATTCCTGTTAGTTTGTATTCGTGAGTATGGGTGTGTGTGAATTCCTATATTCTGAGAATCTACCCTACAGAAATACCCTTTACCCAAAGGTATATGTACAAGAATGTTCACGGAAATTTGTTTTATGCTAGCCAAAAAAATTTAAACAAGCTGAATGGTCATTATCAGGAGAATCAGTAAATAAATTATGGAGCATAGATTATTTTTAGAATACAATGCGTATCATATATAAAATATATCTTTGGCCCAAACAAAAATTCATATTAGACCACAGACTACAAGGCAATAATTTCCAAAAAGATGTAACTTTATAGGAAACCAGGTATATCATCTATCCAAAATGCAACAAAACCAAACATTAACAATAAAAAGCAGAAGAGCAATGGTCCCCCTAGATCAGTGATGGCGAACCTATGACACACGTGTCAGAGGTGACATGCGAACTCATTTTTTGGTTGATTTTTCTTTGTTAAATGGCATTTAAATATATAAAATAAATATCAAAAATATAAGTCTTTGTTTTACTATGGTTGCAAATAGCAAAAAATTTCTATATGTGACACAGCATCGAAGTTAAGTTAGGGTTTTTCAAAATGCTGACATGCCGAGCTCAAAAGGTTCGCCATCACTGCCCTAGATATTTATAAAATGACTTTCCTAGCTCTTCCGGCTTCTTATACCTGGCCCAAATGCTGCTTACCAGCCAGAAATTCACTTCCATCGTGAGCATGTGACCTTATAGCGTAGTTGACCCTATCTTTGCCTAGTTTCTAGGGAAATGAAGCTTAAAGGCCAACCAAGGTCAAAAGGGAAGGCAAGATGGAAGAGGGTTTTGATAACTCTTTACCCTCAAGTGTAAATATTTTTTAAATGGGGGGAGAGGAGAAGAGAGAGAAGAAAAAAATCTTGAAAAGGGAGTTTTTATCAATACATAGTACTTACCATCCTTGGCTGCACCAGTTGCTAGAAATATGTAGTAGCTTGTGTTTAGGTCAAATCTATCCTTAACGCCAGGAAGGGTGATGTTTCTTCTGAAAGAACATTGCATCCCGCCATCCTCCAACCTCCAGGCCATATCCTCGAGGGCGTCCTACAAGCACACAGTGGGTCTCGTCAGCGCTTCCCCAAGATTTGCTAAAACCCGATGTGATCGCAGTCCTGCCCGTCCAAGCTCCTTTCTCTGAGACCCTCTGTGCACGTCTGGTCTGCGCTGGCCTTGTTCCTCCACTTCCCCTTCAAAGAGTACAACGAACACTACCTCCCAGTCTGTCTTGATCTCACTTGGCAAAAGTATTATTTTTACTTTGAGTCAAAACCCCAAAATTCCTCTCCCCCGGAGAGAACCTTTGGCAGACATAAAAAACTCCATCTGGCCACTAACAATCAAAAACATTGAACTAACAATAGCAAGTAGCCCTAGCCGGTTTGGCACAGCATTTCACTGTGTGTGTGGATATCAAAACATCGCGCCCGGCCGGCGGGGCTCAGTGGCTGAGCATCGGCCTAGGAACCAGGAGGTCGCGGTTTGATTCTCGGTCGAGGGCACAGGCCTGGGGTTGCAGGCTCGATCCCCAGTGTGGGGCGTGCAGGAGGCAGCCGATCCATGATTCTCTCTCATCATTGATGTTTCTATCTCTCGCTCCCTCTCCCTTCCTCTCTCTCTCAAAAAAAAATCAATCAAAACATTTTTTTAAAACACATCATGTTGCACACCTTAAATACACATAAACTTTATTAAATATATATGTATATCTAGTAAAAAAAAAAATAAGGGAAAGTGCAGAAAAGCTTTCCCAGAGTGTTATGAGAGAGGAACCCTTCGGCGAGGCCCCTGCTCAGGCCCGACGAACTGCGGGTTCGAGGCCACCTTGCCACACAGACATGCCGCTGTAAGCCGCGTGGCCGGAGGGCGGGCGGGCCAGGTAGAGGCTCCCAGAACTTTGACACCTACCCAGGAGTCCAGGGCAGGGTGGCTCCGCCCCGTCAGATGGGCGGGTCGGATGCTCACGGTCTGGTCCTCATGAATACACAGGTAAGCGTCATCGTCGCCCTGGAGAATGATGGGAAAGGAGAAGAGTCTAAAGGAAGTTCAATGCTGTGCTTTTATGTCCTTAATAAAAATCAAATAGTATCTGGTATTCTTAAATAATTTACTGGCAGCCTTCAATGGTACTATGGCTGTCTGATTTATGAATCAATATGATTTTGTTATAATAGGAAAGCAATACAATTTCATTATAAAAAACAGGCTAAAATAGACTTGACATGTTTATATGCCCATAAACCCATCCCCAATTGAACACCATGGTTAATGCTTTCATATATATTCATCCAAATCTATTTATATTTATACCTATATCTTTCTCTCTCTCCAAATAGAAAAATACACAGTTTTGTTACCTGTTTTCATTTATCATGAATATTATTCTGGATTCTTGTTTGTAAATATATATCCATGTCTTGAACGTTTTCATGACTGTAAATGCGCTATATTATATCGGTTTTGGGGGGGCGGGGGTAGCCTTCAAGATGGAAGGCACTGTAATCAAATATTGCTAATATTGTACACATTCAACACCCCATAGGTTAAGTGTTATGTATTGAGGCCACAACGTCTGAGCTCAGGGAGGCATTCTTTGCCGGTCTGATTCTCATGTGTTCTTTCATCTCTAATATTCTCTAAACTCAGGATCTCATTTCAATTACTACCAAAGGGCAGGCTGCATCTTCAAAGCACCTGGCATCATTTCAAGGTACAAGCGAATCTTCTGGATTTCACGTTACTGTGCGTAGATTTGGTTCTTTCGCCTATTCTAAATCGCTCCCCCTCAACTACCTAGCAAGGTATTTTATGGGCCTTGGTCGCTAAGCTCCTTAAAGAAGACCCAAGAACAACCCGTTAATCTTGCATTCAACTCGGAATTAGCCCAGCTCAAGATAAGAAATATGGAGTCGACAAACCACAGCACACAGGCCTCATTCAGCCTCAGCACACGCCCTCCCTCCCCACCCCTCCCTCAAGTGCCATCATCTGACCTGGAACAAACAGCTGACCTGCCTCTGCATGGAGCTCACCCGGGACTAATGTCACCCCACGGATTAGTGAGAGGTACCCACCATCCACCTGTCGTGAGAAAGCGCGAAGGACAGGTAGCCTTTGCTGGGGCCGCTCATCTCCACCGTCACCGACTGGTTGTCCCGCGTGAAGGACAGGAAGAGGCAGGTGCCCTCCTTCTCTGGGTCGCAGGCCGAGGGGCTCCGCACACAGAACTTCTTGCTCCCACAGCCCGAGGCGCTGAACTGGGAAAATGAGGGGGCGGGCTTCGTGATCAAACCACCGTTCATCCCCTCCCGGGGCTCAGGTCCTAACGGACCCCCTTTCAGAACAGGACCCAAATAAGGGGGCAGGAGACAGGCCCCAAATTAGAAATGACCCGGGCAGTCGTTTTCAAGGTCATGAACTTTTCAGTGTAATTACTTTTAATTAACATTTGGAAGGCACAGTAGTTGGACTGTAATTGTGCTCGAGTATTAAAGTCCCTTTAATACACAAATAGTTCGTGTTAATTATGTTCCCCAGGGAAGGCTCGGGGAAATTCTAGAAACTCCTCAGGGAGTGTTTAAGTCCACAGGGACAGTCTTGCCTGCAGGGTACCCTCCAGTTTCCAGAGGTGGAATTTAAAAATCAAACAGGCAAAACCTTTGCAAAATTTTGTATTTAGACCCTGGACTCTGCCTCTAGCATTCGGTTCAAATTTGATACTAAAATAATATAAGAGCCCTGGCCAGTGTGGCTCAGTGGGTTGAGCATCGTCCCATGCACAGAGAGGTCACTGGTGCGATTCCTGGTCAGGGCACAGGCCTGGTTGCGGGTTCATCCCCAGTAGAGGGCGTGCAGGAGGCAGCTGATCAATGATTCTCTCTCATTAATGTTTCTCTCTCCCTCTCCCTCTCTCTCTCTCTCTCTCCCTTCCTCTCTGAAATCAATAAAAATATATTTAAATATATATTTAAGAGCTCTACCACTACTTCAAGATTGTGCTCCACATTCCAAATCTTGTCTGAATAGAGCTTAAGCTTTAAGCTCCCACTCCATGTTTCATATTTGGTGGTGGAAAGAGAGAGAGGAGGGAGGGAGGGAGGGAGGGAGGGAGGGAGTTCGTTGCTGCTGCTTCCCCAGGTCTCAGAGGAACCGCACCCCGCTGGTAGGGACTGTGTGTCAGTGTGGTGACCGTGCTGGGAGGTGCAGGGCTGCGCTCCCCCCTCTAACCTGCAGCCCTAATGCTGGAGGAGGACCTCCTTCCGGATCCTGCTGAGACCCGCCTGCTGCCACCACCGCTCTGGGCCGCTGCTTCTCCTCACAGGGCCCCGAGCACGGAACCCCAGCTCCCAAGGAGGTGCTCCCCTAGATTGCGTTTGGGGAACCACAGGAGGCGACTCACTGGTTTGGTGAGACGGGAGACTGCAGGCGAGGCAGGCGAAGGCGCTGGTGTGGCTCTAGGTGTTGAAAAGGGCGGGGCCTTTGGCTGTGAAATGACAGGACTAGGAATCCTCACCCAGTAGCTTTTATACTTCTCCACGACCGTGGCCCTGAAACGCAGAACCGGGGCGTCAGCCAGAATCCCAACTGTGGCCCAGCAGGCAGATCAAAACTTCCAAGGGGTGAGAAGGAGTTCAGAAGGGACACATGACTTAGGAGTGCCTACCAGACCTCTGATGGCTCTCTCCCTCCTCCTCCTTCACCTTCTCCTCCTCCTCATCCTGCTCTTCCTCCCCCGCCTCCTCCTCCTCCTCCTCCTCCTCATCCTGCTCTTCCTCATCCGCCTCCTCCTCCTCCTCTTCCTCCTCATCCTGCTCTTCCTCCTCCTCCTCCCCCCTTCCCCTCCTCTTCTCTACTCTGACTTGTCATTGGCGGGCACGCTCCCAACACCAGGCCAGAGACTAAACTGCACGATCCCCCCGACATGCCAAGACTGCACACCCTCATTCACCTCCCAGTGCTCGGTCAGAGGGCAGGGCAGCGGCCACCAGGGCGCCAGCTGTGAGGGGTGACAGCCCCGTCTTCACACGCCACACAACACGCAGGTGCGAGCCCTGTGACTGCGCACCGGGACCTGGTGCACGAAGTAGAGGGGAGGACGGGGGGCACTTCTCCCCTGAAAGCCATGCCCCTCACGCCACTCAGGAGCCATTCACGCTACAACATGATGACCTTCTGGGAGGTTCCAGGGACACGCGCTCCGACCACCTAACCTGCAATGTGTCCCGCTGCCCCACATGTCAGGGCTGGTGTGGGTTTTAAAGTCCCATCCCAAGTCTATCAAGCCTCAGCCAGCTCCCTGAGGACTCAAGGACGGTTGAGGGCTCCTGTCAGCGTGAAGGCGGGCGATGCTGCATTCACACATCCAGTGTCTACTCCGTGCCTCTCCGGAGGCAGGCCCTGTGCCAGGTGCTGGGTGTACGCTCGGGAAAAAACCAACACAACAGGCCTGGGCGTGGCTCAGTGGCTGAGCATCCATCTATGAACCAGGAGGTCACGGTTCAATTCCTGGTCAGGGCACAGGCCCGGGTTGCGGGCTCGATCCCCAGTGTGGGGCGTGCAGGAGGCAGCTGATCCATGGTTCTCTCTCCTCGTTGATGTTTCTGTCTCTCTCTCCCTCTGAAATCAATACAAATATACTTTAAAAAAAAAAAAAAAAAGACAGAAAGAAAAGAAGCCAAACAACTGCTTACATACGCAGGCGGTGCTATCGCCCCAGCAGCCCCCCCGCAGGGAAAGTCCGCCAATAGGTACAGACTGACACAGACCATCGCTGTGGAGTTACACCGGGGCAGGTCTCTGTACTCACAGGAACTGCACGTGTGTGGGGGCGTTGTCGGGGGCGTCCCAGTAGACTCTCACTTCTGTCTTCTTGTGCGCATTGGTGTGGCTCACCGCTGACCCCTGTGATGAATGGAAAAGAGCTCTCCGTCAGCCCCTGGCCGGCTCAGCAGGGCCGGAGCGGTCTCATTTGCAAAGGGACTTATTAGTGTGTGGCCTCAGCCTCTGGTAGAGACCTTTTATTAGAACAGGGCCTCGCGTACCCAGTACATGCAGGTTGGCTGGGGAGACCAGACTAGCTCTGGCTCTGTGAGTAAACCCCAGTCCTCGGAAATGCAAGAGCTAAGGAGAGCCCGGCCCAGGTGGCTCAGTGGTTGAGCGTCGACCTATGAACCAGGAGGTCAAGGTTTGCTTCACAGTCAGGGTACATGCTCCGCTTTCAGGCTTGATCCCAGTGTGGGGCATGCGGGAGGCAGCCGATCCATGATTCTCTCTTATCATTGATGTTTCTATCTCTCTCCCTCCCTCTCTCTGAAATCAATAAAAACATTAAAGAAAAAGAAGAACTAAAGAGAGTTATGAATACTGGGTGTGTTTGGCTTGCTATTTCATTTATACTATAAATGTATATTCCTTCCATTCATACATGCAACTAGTACACAGAAGACTCATCAAAAGAAAAAGTATTCCCGCCTCCAAATAGGTGGTGATTATATTTGCATAATTCCTTTCTCTCAATCTTACTTCCCTCTTCCTTTCACCTGGCAGATGCCCTGTGGCCCAGCATTAGGGTCGGGTCCTCCGAGCAGCTCTCTCTCCATCCCCTCGAGCTTGTGTGTGGCTCCCTAGCTATGCTTCCCCCGTCCTGCGGGTGCTTCTAACCTACGTCATCTCACTGTTCTACTCATGTGTCTGTCCTACATCCATGTCCTACCCATGTGCCATGTCACATGTCCGCATGCTTTACTCGTGTCCCCGGCTGTGAACTCTCCAAGACAGTTCCTGGGATAATAAATGTTTACTAAACAGACGAATGAATGACAAAAATTGAATTTCCGCAGATGCCCTGTGGCCCAGCATTAGGGTCGGGTCCTCGGAGCAGCTCTCTCTCCATCCCCTCGAGCTTGGGTGCGCCTCCCTAGCTATGCTTCCCCCGTCCTGTGGGTGCTTCTAACCTACGTCACTCACTGTTCTACTCATGTGTCTGTCCTACATCCATGTCCTACCCATGTGCCATGTCACATGTCTGCATGCTTTACTCATGTCCCCGGCTATGAACTCTCCAAAACAGTTCCTGGGATAATAAATGTTTACTAAACAAATGAATGAATGACAAAAATTGAATTTCTGTCCCTCTCTAGAACTCTATCTTCAACATTTACACGTTCCAAAATCAACATACTAAGAGTCAATAGCACATGAAATATTAGGAGTCATACACTCTTCAAGCTCTGCCCTGCCTTTCCTGGATGCTCATGTGTAAAGTAGATGCCAGGGGGGGGGGGGGGGGGGGGGGGGGGATTGGGTCACTGGGCATCTGTTTAGATGTTCGCATTACGGGGGTGATGTCGTTTATCTTGCACGCGCCACCCTGTGGTGACAAGGCCCGGGGAAACAGACAGAAATCAGTTTTAAACCAGCCACAAACCTGCTTCTCTCCGCAAGTCAGAAGCTGGGACTCCTGGCTGTCAATCAGCGTGAAGGAGCCCACGGGAGCGCCGCTCGGATCCTCAGCATCCCGGGCCTCGATGAGAAAGCCCTTAAACTCCGGCCCCGACACAGCAACTGCGGCAACAGAGAGACGGGGAAGAGGTTTGGCACCGCCCAGAGGAAACTGCTGGAGGAGGCGCGGCCGGGTTCCAACGGCTATAGGAGGCCCGGCCGGGTTCCAACGGCGGTCCACACACAGAGCTTCCCCAGGAGAGGACACGGCAGCGACCGTCCCCTAGACACAGCTCCAGACTCGGCCGCACGGGACAGTCCCTGCGAGAGATGTTAACCGCCGTCCGCGGGGAGAGGTGGGCAATGGTCAGGCCCATGAGGCCAAACTAGTGTGGAAAAGGCTGGATGAAAGTAATACAGCTTCTTCACTGCGAATCCTTAGGCCCTTTACCGTCCTACCACGCAGCATGCAACGCTAAGAGGTCTGATATGTGCACATCAAGTGTGCTTCCCGAATACTCTTCTGGTTAGAGAGTGCTGGGAATAGTTGCAGGAAGTGGAGTTTGCAGAATGCTGTTCGAGATACACCTTTAGCCAGTCCACATTTTGCCAGAATCAAGGAACTACTAGTATAAGAGATTACACTGTATCAAGAAAGAGAGCCCTAGCTGGTTTGGCTCAGTGGATAGAGAGTCAGCCTGCGGACTGAAGGGTCCCAGGTTTGATTCCTGGTCAGGGCACATGCCTGGGTTGCAGGCTCGATCCCCAGTAGGGGGTGTGCAGGAGGCGTCAGATCAATGATTCTCTCTCATCATTGATGTTCCTATCTCTCTCTCCCTCTCCCTTCCTCTCTGAAATCAATAAAAATATATTTAAAAACAAAAAAGAAAGAGAAGGGCTCAATAAAAAGGAAAGAGAAAGATAAGGGTTTATGATATCTCAAACCCAATAAAGTAAACTTTATTTTCCTTTTCTGTGGAATGAATAGTATTGTTCATGACGACACATTAAACATGATAAACACATGTTTGAAAACCAGTCCCGAATGGGGAGCAGACATACGACGTAGGTCATAGAGCGTCTGCAGCAGCTAAACACAAAGGTGGGAAGCGTGGGGTGAAGACGATGGCATCTACCGAACAGGGGAGGGGCCTCACTGGGACTGGGACCCCGACAGCGACAGCCCCTCAGTGTGCAGCGGGAGGGTGAACCTCGGCCTGTGAACGGGGACCCCCGCACGCGCGGTACCTTCGATCTGGTCTCCCGGCATGAATGTCGTCCGGGCCACTGTCACGCTGTGGACGGGGTCGGGGAGCGGGGCGTGGCCGTGTCTGGGGACCATGTCCCCGCAGGACTCCGTCACTCTGCCGCTGGGATAACCCGCCACCAGGCCGAGGCGCAGCAGCAGCAGCAGGGCCCCCGCGGTGCGTCCGGGAACTGCCATCTGCACAGGAAGATGAAACGGAGATGAACGATAGAAGCTTCCACACGCAGGACAGGGGAGCTAGAGAGCCACTTGCTTTCAGCCGTCAGCTCCCCGAATCCTCAACGACGGGCCACAGAGGAAGACGGTGGGTGGCGTCTCCACGGGCTGGACCCCAGCTCCACCTCTTACGCGGTGAGGCTCGGAGCAAAGCCCCCGAAAGCCTGCACGGCCTCAGGGCTTCCTGCCCCGGCGCCGCGACAGGACGAAGACAGCTGGGAGTCTGACCGGGAGTGACTGGGGAAGGACCAACTCGTCCAATAAAACCAGAGGCTTTATTCCGAGTCACCTAGAGAGCTTAGCGAGCTCACGGGAGCTGCTGCTGGATGCAAATGCGTTCCCTGCGCACATCTGGCCCCTTCTCCGACCCCCTGCGCTAACCATGATGGCAATGGGGGTGGGGGGGATCTTGGAAAGTGACGGCGACAGACCACCCATTGCAAGAGGCAATCTTTCTGTTCCCTGCGGCCCAGAGGCCTCGGATTAGGAAGCGCCATTGTCAGCCAGGTGTTTCTCCTGCATCCAGGTGAGGCCCTCCGGCCATCGGCCTCACAGGCACCACCAGCCTCACAGGCACGACCGGCCTCACAGGCACCATCGGCCTCACAGGCACCACCGGCCTCACAGGGACCACCGGCCTCACAGGCACGACCGGCCTCACAGGCACCACCGGCCTCACAGGCACCACCAGCCTCACAGGGACCATCGGCCTCACAGGGCCCATCGGCCTGACCGGCACTGACTGCTTTCCGTCAGCCCACCCTCCTCCGGCCCACCTCCCTGTGCGCGTCTAAGCCAAACCCGCAAACCATCCCGGGCTGGGGATGAACAGGCGGGGACAGGTTACCTGGTGGTGAGTAAAGGCAGCGTGTGGGCAGGCTGCTGATGGGAAGAGCCTACGAAGCAGCTCATTCTCCATAAAAATAGGGTTTCCGCCCGCCGGGCGTGGCTCAGGGGTTGAGCATCGACCCATGAACCAGGAGGTCACGGTTCAATTCCCGGTCAGGGCACATGCCCATGTTGTGGGCTCCATCCCCAGTGGGGGGCGTGCAGGAGGCAGCCAAGAACTGCGAGGAATGGGCCTGCGAGGGTTTCCCACTCAAGCACGGACCTCAGGTCCCTTTGCTGGGGGCGGACCTGCCTTTAGGACCAGGTAATATTTGCTTGAGAAGATCCGAGTCATGGCTTTCACCAGGTGGCCTTGGCCCAGCCACCACAAAACTAAAGGCAGGACGGGCCAGCGCCTAGAGAATGACCCCGAGGGCGGGGTCGGTCCCGTCTCAGACAGTCATTGGGCGCTGACTCCTGTGGGTGGAGTGGCAACGAGGCTGGGTCTCTGCCCTCCGCTGTGCACGAAGGAGCTGAATACCACCCGGGAGGTCACGGGACCCCTGGCTCGGTTTCCTCATTTGCGGAACCCCGGCCGTGAGCCGGAATGAACGCAGGGCCACCTCCCGCCTCCCAGGGTGATTCCAGAAGGCACGGTGGACTCGCAGGCTGGGGGTCGTGAGAGGGAAAAGCAGAAGTCGGGAAGGGAAGTGACTCAGAGGCGCCCACCTGCCAGTCACTAGGAAAATAGGAAATGTCCTAGCTGGTGTGGCGCAGTGGATAGAGCATCGGCCTGTGGACTGAAGGGTCCGGGTTCAATTCCAGTCAAGGGCACATGCCCGGGTTGCGGGCTCAATCCCAGTAGGGGCGTGCAGGAGGCAGTCGATCCATGATTCTCTCATCATTGATGTGTCTCTCTCTCTCTCTCTCTCTCTCTCTCGCTCTCGCTCTCCCTTCCTCTCTGAAATCAATTTTTTTTAATTTACTTAAAAAAATGAAATAATGCCCTGACTGATTTGGCTCAGTGGATAGAGCATCAGCCTGGGGACTGAAAGGTCCCAGGTTCGATTCCAGTCAAGGGCATGTGCCTTGGTTGCGGGCACATCCCCAGTAGGAGGCGTGCAGGAGGCAGCTGGTCGATGTTTCTCTCTCACTGATGTTTCTACCTCTCTATCCCCCTCCCTTCCTCTCTGTAAAAAATCAATAAAATATATTTTTTTAAAAATTAAAAAAATTTTAAAAAAGAAATGAAATATGACAAACAAGGTCAGTGAGGGAATAAACAGGAGCGAGTCCCTGGCTCCAGGTCGGGTGCCACCGCCCAGGGGGAGGCGCTGTTTCCATGTCCGTGGCCAGTGACGCTTCCGGGATGATTGCAGGACACTCTTCCTTCAAAGTACACATTCACCGCATCGGCCAACCTGGGCCCCGGGACCACACAGGGGAGAGGGTAAGGGGGTTATTTGTGGAAGCGTGTGCGCTAAGCCCTGGACTGTGCGGACTGAGCAGTGAGTGAGAGGCCGCCTCCCAGCCAGCGGGACCAGCTTCGCGGCAGAGGAGAGGGCCAGGCCAGGCGTGGGTGCTGCAGCGCGCAGACTGTTAGGGCGAGACCTGCTCTAACTCCACCTTCCTGTTCGTTCTGTTCGGGGCAGAAAGAGAATATCGGGGACCAGCTCCGATGATCAGAACTGTGAGTCCTGCTCTGTTAACCTGATGGTTCTGTTCGATTACAGAAAGCACATCCTCGCCTGCTGGGAGCTGTGCGCCCCGGGACAGGGGAGCTCACATCGGAATGCGATCGGTCCATCCTTCTGAGAACTGCCTGTCATCATGGAAAGATTGACAACCTCGTGGCCGAAATGATCTAATCCCAGAGGCACCTGCTCTGTACAACCCCCAGCCCCTATGGCCTGTCATCTGGTCCGGGGTCGTCCCCGGAGGCGCCCGCCCTCCTGTGCCCTCCCCCGCCCCCGCCCCCTGCCCGCATGACTTGTAACCTGTGATTATCTGGAATCTACTTTCCCATGCCTGTAATCCCTACTTCCCCACATCATCGTTGTCCTTCTACCCAATGTAAGCAGCTGGCTTATGGGAGGTTGAACTGGCTCAAGTAGTGACAGGCAGCCCGGACGCCTCGGTTGTCTGGTTACATTTCCACTCGACATCACTGCTCCCTCCCTGGGGAGGTAGGCAAGTCCCGCGAGGAGCCGCCGCGTTGCACGATGAGCAATGTGAGTGGGGGCATGACTGTGACAAAGGCTGCCGTGAGCATGAGCCTAATTCAGAAGGCCCAGCCACTCTCCGAGTCTGGGAGGCCAGGCAGAGAGCTCGCTCGGGAACCAGTGCTCCTGAAGAACCAGGGTCAATTCCTAACTGTGTTTTAGTTCAACGTCTACAAACACTAGGTTGTCGGTAAGTCGTAGCTGCCCCGTATCTACCACCCTGCTGCCTTACCGGCACTAGCAGGTGCTCACTTCTGACACTATTGCGGTGAGACAGCTGGAGCGCTCACCTGCTCCTGTTAATGTAAAAAACCCATTGAAACTGTAAAGAATTTTTGTGAGTTTATTTGAGCCAAACTGTCGACATATGCCGGGAAGCAGAACCTCAACGAATTGAGATAATGCTCCGGAGAATGGCGGGTTACATCTGTATTTATACTTTGCAATCAGAGGAAAGGACGTAGGTGGGTTACATGAAATCCATTGGTGATAGATTAAGGAGGAGGGATAAAGCAAAGCAGGGAAACCCCTGGGATTGGAGAAAAAGTAAAAAGATGGGCACATACTTAGGTGGGTGCAGGATCAATTAACATGATAATGAAGGAATCTGTGGTCTCTGTCCTGGCGCCCAGCACATTTGGTTGTGCCCCAGGGGCTCCAGAAAAAGGGAAGTTACAAGTTACCCAGACATTTCAAGGGCATGTTATCATAGACGCAAAAAGACAGATAGGCTCAGTTACAGTAAAGGTTGACCTTGTCAGTGAAGATACCGGCCTAGGACGTAACTGCCCACCATCACTGCTTTTAAAGTTTAATTTCAGACCATCCTTGTGGTGACTTTAGGTCTGAGTTTGCAAGACCCCATGCAGGCCTCCCCTGAGCTTGTCAGGTCAGCATGTGGCCCCTTTCGTCCACACTCCTTTCATCCTCGTCTCCCAAAATAGTCCAGACCCTTGCTTCCCGCTTCCCCGGCAATTTAACTCGCACGTTCTACAAACCCCCAAATCCAGGATTAATTGACCTTGAGAGCTGAATCTCAAACTGCAGGGAAACTGAAAAATAGGCCAAGTATTTCCACTTCCCCAGACAACGACGTCTCAGGCTCCGTTCTCACAGCGGGAAGCACAGGGAAGACGATTTTAAGAAATTAACCACTGAATTGGTCCGGGTGGGAAAATGATTTCCTCCCACCCTTCTAGGTTCCTCCGGCTGCACTGACAACCAGGTGAACCCCGGGCGGGTCAGCAGGAGGAAGACAGGTGCCGCCCGAGACCCAGAGCCCCAGTGCTGGGCCAGTTCGGCAGAAGCCATCACCTTCACTGCCAGCCTCAGCTGGAGGCAAAAGGAGAGCTCCCCTGAGCTGTCTGTTGTCTTCCTGCAGCTACACTAACTGACCCGGATGTCAGGGTGACCCCCTCTTCCCACCCCTCAGGGCACACGCTCCCGCCAGAGGCACCAGCCCACGGGACCCCTCACTGTTTTCCCGTTCCCTGCAGACCCGTGGACGCACAGGGGCCACGCTACCCGACCAGCTCAGAGGCCTGAAGCCACCACAGAGGGTGGCCTGAATGGGAACTTGCTGAGTACACGCAGTTGGTGGTGGTGGGCATGTCCTGGGCTAGAATCTCCGCGGCAAAGTCAGCCTCTACCTTGACTGAGCCTGCCTGTGTCTTTGGCATCCAGGGGAGCATTCCTGTGGAAAGTCAGGCTAAAAAAAAATCCCCTTTTCCAGACCCCTCGGGGCACAGCCTGTGGGCGGGCACAGAGCCTAGAATCCTCTCCTTGTTATTGTTATCCCGTTAGTTGTTGGCTATTAACTCCCCTGTTCCCACTTCACCTTTTACCCCATCCCAGAGGCCTCCCCGATTTGCTTTCTCTGCCTCTCTAATCCATCCCCGATGGAGCTCACCCAACCCACTTCCGTCTCCTCCTTTGATGTAATGTATGAAACAAGGAGAGGGACTGCCGTTCTCCGGAGCATGACCCCAACCCATTCAGCTTTCTGCTTCCCCGCAATGGTCAGTTTGGCTCAGATAAACTCGTAAGAATTCTTCACAGGTTCGGACCTTTCTTACGGCGACCATTTAAAATGCCATCAGCTACTGCGCCCTGAGAGCGAACAGTGTGGCCCTGGAAGTCACAGACCTGGGCCGAGCCCAGCGGTCACTGAGGGACCTCGGGCAAGTGACCTAAGCTCACCGGGCCTTCGCTCTCTCGTTCTGAGAGACGGTGGGAGCCACATCCAGGGCTTGCGTGAAGATTGCAGAGCCTCTGTGAACCCTCCGCACAGTGCCCGTCGCAAAGCAGGTCCCCACTAAAGATGGACCTGCGCCTTCAGTGTGGCTCAGTGGACAGAGCGCCGCCAGCAGACCAGAGGGCCCCGGGTTCGATTCCGGTCAAGGGCACATCCCTCGGTTGCAGGCTCCTCCCTGACTGGGCCCTGGTCAAGACGCGTGCAGGAGGCCACCAATCAATGTGTGTCTCCCATATCCATGTTCCTCTCTATCTTTCCCTCCCCCTCCCACTCTCCCTAAAAATCAATGGAAACACACCCTCGGGTGAGGATTAACAAGAAGATGGACTGAAATCTCGCCCGACTCCACCACCTGCGACTCCACCCCTGCGGGACCACTCTCTTTCAGAGCCTCCACCCACTCCCTTGTCGCTAATGAAAAACCCATCTCGTTTTCCTCCCACAACTGGAGATGCGCCTTTGGGCCAATTCCTGGAGGCGGCCACCCTGTCCTGGTGGATCTCGGTCACAGTAGCCAGCAGCCCCCGTGGAACAGCACCAGGGCGACCTGGTAGGACTCATCCCTTCACACAAAACCGTCCTGAAAGGCTGGCTCGTGATGTCAACAAGCCGACAGGCCAGGTCTCGTCCCCGCCTTGCCCACCCGAGGCAGCTCCCTCTGCTCCACCTTTTAATTCCGAGGAAAAAGAAGATCTCTGAACTGAAGATGTTAGCTTAGTGAAGCAACACTCCTGACAACTCATTTACAAACGGAAACACCCCCAGTGCCCCTGGGGCAGCGTGGCAAGATGCAAAAAAAAAAAAAGGGAAAAAATTAAGGGCAGAGGTCACAGCTTGGCTCTGGGAACATCTAAAGCCGCACCCGGCGGGCGGGCGTAGGGGTGGGGGTGGGGGGGAGCTAAAATCCCTACCTTAAAAGGCACTTTAAAAAAAACAAGTGAGGCCCTAAGTCACCTTCACACAGGTGACGATATCATTCGGAGTGAATATAAAAGGGAGTTCCCGTAGTTTAAAAGTTAAACCATGAAACACGTGGGTGAACAGTCACTGCCGGTCAGGCTCCCACACAGCTCCGCTCTCAGCCTTCCCGTGGGACGAAAGCTCACAAGTCAAAGTCACCGGGACCGGTCAGCCCGGCCGGGCGGGCGCTCGGACCTCCAGACGGGCTCCGGGAGGCAGTT